GTTAGTAAAGTGAGGCTGGTTCTCATCCCACAGTTATCTGAAACTGTGGCCAGTAGTAGCAGCAGCTGCTGCCTGCAGTCCCTTCGCTTCCTTTATTCCAAGTCACTTGCAGGAGAAATCTTTCAGCCAGAAATCAGTTTGTGAAGCACCTATAGGTGCTAAGGGGAACATTGTTATGGAAGGGCAAAGAACATATTATTACTTTTGAGATTCGGGTACTATAGAGCCCAGCCCTTACTCCCAATGGAGTTAGACCCTTTTTAATACAAGCCGTTCTTCAGGGCCCAGGGCTCCCTTGATGGCAGTGCACCTGTTTACACCAGGGAGAAAATTTAGTCCTGTGTATGCAACATGTTATCATTACAGAATTATGCTTTTAGAAGCTGAGCTTTTGTTGTAATAAAATGATGAATGAGTATTGAGCACTCTCGTAAATAGAGTATTTGGAGATACCACTCAGAGCTTAATTGGAATGCAGTTATTTTAGGCGGCCTACCCACTATTTTTACAATGCTATAATTTTCTATTATAAAATGTATTTTTCTGTTAAACCCCATGTAATCAGTTTTTGGTCTCTCGCTCCCACTTCCTTTGTGTGTGCACGCTTTCATTTCTTTAAAGGGGTGACATTCATAGTCTGGAATATGTGCTGAGGCTGCTGATTCTATTTTTGGATCTGTTATTCTTGGAGAAAACACCCTTTAATTGGGGTGGGGGTGAAAGAGGCGGGAATAGGAGGGGAGCTTTAGGAAGGAAAGCGTTTAGCTGAAAGCGTCATCTTCAGAACACTTCCAGCTTGTGTCAGTTTCCCCCCGAGGCATGAGAATCTTAAGGTCATTTCTAGGATTGCTGCCCTGTAAAGCAGTGCAGAACTGCACAGCTGCCAAACTACCAGGCTGGATAAGAGAGCCCTTTCTATACACGTCCATAATTTTTTTTAATTTAAATGACATGGCTCCCCTTCAGCTCTGCCAGGATCCTGAAATGTTATCAGCTTTCCTACGTGCTTTTGGTAAGGCAGAAACAGAATGAAGCTCGAGAGAAATGCAATGTTAAAGTAAATGAAATCTAGTCTCTTTCTAAAAAGTGAGTTATAAGTAGTTTCAGGGACAACATCTGTCCCTCTGTCGCCCTGCTAACTTTTGTAATTTTACAATCACATTTCCCCTATCTTTGAATTGTTTGTCCCTCTCCCTTGCTGCTACATGAAAGACCTGCACAAATAGGGAAAACTGACTGACTGTCCAGTGAGACTGGCTACACACAGTGTGTATAACCAAGCTGATATATGTTCTTCCAATCTCTCTCAGCTACAGTGATCTTAGTGGTTACCAATTGTAGGTTAAAAAAATTAGACAAGTGTAATTTTTAAGATGATGGTGTCTCTTTAAAAGAAAAAATTAAATGGTAATGGGGCAAAGGAAATGTCATTCCCTGTAACTGTTCTTAGGATGCAAATACCTAAGAAGGAAGTCATCTCTTCGCAGCCTCCTTAAAAGCTGTTTATTAGCTTACACCTGCTTGGATAACTTGGCAGATTTACTTTTTTTTAATGGCTATTTTGTAGCATGTCATGTGGGATGTGTTGGGTTAATTGTGAGGAAAATTAGTTAGCTGAAAATGGGTAAGCACAGAACTGTGTAACGAATCCATTTGTTGTAAACAACAGACATGGATCAGTCTGGATCATACACACATCAAGGGATCTCGGATGAGAACTTTTATTCTTCAGATCTAAAACATGAGCCTCAGTCACTTGAGCTAACCAAAGCCTTTTGTAGCTACTGGTAGCATTAGGGCCTGTTTTCTCTTTTTGGCCGGCCTCTTCAGAGCAAAATCATTCACTCACTCATACACACAAGCCAGCGTGTTACAACCATCACTTTCAGCCTTTAAATCAAGACTGGATATCTTTCTAAAAGAGATGCTGTAGCTCAAACAGAAGTTATGGGGCTGACGCAGAAATTCCTGTGTGAGGTTCTATGGCCTGTGTAACACACAAGGTCAGATTAGATGATCATAATTGTCCCATCTGGCTGAAAAGTCTATTAGCCAGAAACCAGGTAACCTGGATTTTATTTCCAGCTCTGACAAAAAGTTACTGTATGACCTTAGGCCAGTCATGCTCACTGTCCCTCAGTTTCCCTGTCTATAAAATGGGGACGATGGTAGCAGTGTTGTGTCTCCCAGTTCACTGATGCATTTAAAGCCCTTTGGGATTCCGGGAGGGAAGATGTGTCAGCAGTGCACAGTAACTGGCTGGTGCATGTGCACCACTCCCTGCTACTCATGTTATCAGTTCTATTCTGTGTCATAAAAGAGGTTTTCCTGTAGCTCAAGTGGCAGGGGCCTGTGTTCTTGAGGCAGATGGAACTCAGTTCTATCCCCACTGTCACCAAGAGGTTTCATTTGGGCACAGCACGGTGACATCAGTGAAGTGCTACATGGCTATAGATTTTTGCAGTGAGAGTGTAGCACTCTCCTAACTGGCAGTGCTTTCACACGGGCTGACCATTTTCTGCGATGGCTTTTGTTTCATGTCGAAAGAACAGCCCTGCATATAAACAGGAGTTCTCGAGGACGTGGGGGATTTGCCTGCTCCAAAACAGGCCTTGGAGAGCAGGCTGGCTTGTGCTAAAAAGTGACTTAGGGCTGGAGGTAGTCCCGAGGCAGCTGTTTTGTGCTTAGTAGCGATGTCATCGTTTTCCCAAGGCCTTGGCTTGCCTGCTCCCACATAGTAACCACCAAACAATGGCTTGTTGGGCATGGGAGTGGGCAAGGAGGGGAGAGATAACCACAAGGTCTCAGCTGGTTATTGATCTTCCCTGGGTGGGAGGAGGAAAGCAGCATTGCATGAGAATTCCCCTGCTCACAGGGAGACACGCTGGAAAGTCTGATCCCTGGGTTCACTCCGATGCTTTCCCGTCCCAAAAAGCAACGTTTGGTCAACGTTTAGGGCAGCCAGATCCAGCTGTCCTTCCTCAGGAAAAGCCAACAGGTTTGGTTCGACCAGGGCTTTGCTAACCAATTCAAGCCAACATCCTGGGACAGTGAGGAGAAGGAGGTGGCCCAGCTGCCTCTCTGATGTCCGAGTGCCTCCCTGCTATCCCTGGCTAACCTCTTACAGCCAGCCGCAGCCCCGCCCTCTCAGCTGTGTGATCCCAGGAGCAGGAAGTGTGTGCGCGGTTGGAGTGGCAGCCAGCATGGACCCTAGTACTCCACATGGCAGCTGAAGAGGTGCTCAGCCTATCAGAGAGCTAAAGGGGGGAAAACTAATGAGGAAAGGGCAGGGGGAGGTAGAATGTGGGGAAGGAAGAAGAGAGATCTCGAGGCTGGATGGAGGAGAAGAGACAAGGGGGTGGGGAACAGGTTGCAGGAGAAATCCAGCGACACCAGGAGCCAGTGCAGGCTGGGTGGGAAGAGGTGCCTGGAGGAAACCTCCAATCCACCAGCATGTCTATGGCTGTCCAGCATCAAGGGAGTGGGTAGCAGTCCCCCCGATGGTCCTCCCCTGCCTTTGGAAAATCTTCTTTGGAAAATTATCCATAGAAAATGATATAAACTGCACTGGTAACTGTGCAGTGGGAGTATTGCCTGAGTGAGGACTGCAAGGTTGGGGCCGGGGGGATGAAATGGCATTAACACTCTCTCTTTCTGTGTCTCGGGAGTTCCCAAGGGGTTAATGGATTCAACATGAGTCTGGTTGTTTTAGAAATCTCTTCTGCATGTGACAGTGTTAATATATCCCTAGCCAGCTGGAGGAAATGTCTCCTGTTTTCTGGGATATTGCAAGTGGAAGCTCTATTGGAACCGTTTGAAAGAGGAAACATCTGACAGATAACACTCCGAGGAACCCATGAATATCAGGTTTTCGGTTTTGGGTGTAGGCTTTTTTCTTCTGAATCCCCTTTTGAAGCACAAGCTGCACAGGGGGGTGATGGAGGCCTTTGAATGGTAGCAGAGTAGACTGGATAATACTCTTGGAGATAAATGTGAGCGATACAGCCATCGCATCCAAGAGGCAAAGGCTTAAGTGTTAGATCTCCCCTCCCATCCACGCCCCAACTCTGACCCCAGTTCTTTGCACGGTTGGTTCTAAACATGGTCAGTGCCCACAAGCCACACGGCTAATACTCAATTACTGATGATGGCAGCTAACCATGTCTCACCTTTGCCAGTGGCCAAGGCAGGTTCCCCTTTTTTTTCCCCTGTAAGCACTGTAAGTGATGGGATCACTGAACTGGGTTTGCTGCTTAGCCAGTTGGCCAGTCCTCCCAGCTCTCTGTTCAGTAGGACATCCCCCACATGCTGCTGTTTGCTCTCCATGTGTATGTCCATTGGATCGTCTATCCCGTGCCCAGGCAGTATGGGATAGCTGTGTTACAGTGCTAATAACACTGCATGTTAGGAAGGAAACTGGTCATGCCATGTCATTCATTGAATACCGGGCATGCTTTTATTATTCTTATTTATTCAGATAGTGATGTAAATAGTCATAGTGTAATTCAGGCAACACGAACATGGGCAACAAATTGGGTCTGGGAGCATGCAGGAGACATCACTGGGGAGAAATCAGTGGGAAAGGATTCCTGGAGGAGGAGAGAAGGCATATGGGGATAAGAAACAGGAAGTTGTCTCAGGCATAGGAACAGCCTGAGAGCAGGCCTGAAGCTGAGAGTGGAAAGAGGGGACAAAGGGAGAGAAGACTGGGAGAAGGAAGTGGAGAGCACAGGGGGAAGTGGAGACAAGATCATGGAGGGCTTTGAGGAGCTTGACTCTCACATAGCTTTGTAATGTGTAGGGAGCAGTGGAAGCAGGAGATGATTTTGTGATCAGCATTTTGGAGAGAGGAGAAGTAAAAAGCGGGGAAGCAGGAGAGAAGAAGGTTACAGTGTTTGAGACAAGAGGTGACCATGGCACAGTCAGCTTTCCGGATACTCAGAGATCTGCTCTCTAATTCCTTGCTGTCTGTATTTTGTTCTAGGGCTCTAAATGAGAATATGGCCAATGGCATTGAAGATCTTATTGGGATCCCATTCCCAAACCACAGCAGTGAAGTCCTTTGCGGTTTAAATGAACAGCGGCATGATGGTCTACTCTGCGATGTCATCCTCATTGTCCAGGACCAGGAGTACAGGACCCACAGGTCTGTTCTTGCAGCCTGCAGCAAGTACTTTAAAAAACTCTTCACTACTGGCACTTTAACAGACCAGCCCTATGTTTACGAGATTGACTTTGTCAAGCCTGAAGCACTTTCTGCTATCCTAGAGTTTGCCTATACTTCAACCCTCACCATCACCACCTCAAACGTCAAGCACATCCTCAACGCAGCCAAGATGCTGGAGATCCAGTGCATTATCAATGTATGCCTTGAAATCATGGAGCCTGACAGAGAAGCTGAAGAGGAAGATGATAAAGAGGATGAAGATGACGATGATGACGAAGAAGATGATGATGATGAAGAGGAGGAGGAGGAGGAAGAAGTGGAAGATTTTGTGAATCAGGAGAACCTCACGGATGTCCAAGAAGTAAGCTGTCACCAAAGCCCTTCAAAGTCTGACCTTACCGAAGAAACGTATACAGAAGCACCTAGAGACTTCCCACATCATTACCCAGCCCATAGCTCTGCCGGCCACTTGGGCATGATACGAGACTTTTCCATTGAGTCATTACTTAGGGAAAATTTGTACCCTAAAACGAACATTCCAGAAAGGAGGCCAGCCCTATCTCCCTTCACACCAGACTTCTTTCCCCACCTGTGGCATGGAAATTTCAGTTCCTTTTCCCAGCTAGAAGAGCAGCAAGTGGACAATGGCCCTTTGGACCTGGTGATCAAAAAGAGGAAGATTAAGGAGGAGGAGAAGGAGGAGCTCCCTCCGGCTCCTTTCCCTAATGACTTCTTCAAGGACATGTTTGCCGGCAATCCAGGAGGTCACTTAGGGCACATTAAGGCAGAGAACGACTATAGCGCTTATCTCAACTTTCTAAGTGCCACCCACCTGGGAGGAGTGTTTCCTCCATGGCCCCTGGAGGAAGAAAGGAAGATAAAGCCCAAGGCATCTCAGCAGTGTCCGATCTGTAACAAAGTCATCATGGGGGCAGGGAAGCTGCCACGGCACATGAGAACCCACACAGGAGAAAAGCCATACATGTGCACTATCTGTGAAGTTCGCTTTACCAGGTGTGCATCAGTTATTACCATTGTATTTAGCAGTGCAGCTACAAAAGGGGGATGGCGCCCTAATAAAGCACTGATGGATTTATTGAGTCCAGCAATACAGGTTGCTAACCATAAATGCTATTTCATGGAGACCGCCTACTACGCGTGAGCCTGTGGCAGGTTAGGGCCTTAGTAGACAAGGAGAAAGATCTCAGTGAAGCCGCTCCATGGAGACACAGGCATTTAAGTAATGTGTCTCCTTCAACTTAAGAGTAAAGTGAATATCAAGGAAATAGGGGCCTGACACAAGCCCACTGAAGTCAATGGAAAGACTCCCATTGATTTTAATGGGTTTTGGATCAGCCTGTAGGTTATCCAGATAGCTACTAACCAGACAAGAGTGTAAATAAAGGTATGTAACATTTTCCATCTGGTCATTGTTTACCGATGTGGAATCCAGTGTGGAAGCACTGAAGAAACAGGTGTGTGACCAAGACTGGTGAAACAAATCAATGGATGTTTCTGACTAAAATGTTTTTGGCTATCTAGATAATCTAGGGGCTGATTCAGAACTCACCGAAATCAATGGGAGTCTCTCTGTTGACTTAGTGGAATTTGGATCAGGACTCTATTTTCTTGTAATTCACTGGCAAGCCTTGTCTATGCATTGTGTTAGAAAGTGAGTTAACTTGCACCGGGTTAAACATGATTTTGGCCTGGGTGTGGACCACAACCAGCTACCACCTGTTTAAACACAACTGTCCTTGTCCATACTAAGGCTGAGAACGTGCTAATTATGACATTGTTTGCTGTGTTGTTGTAGCCATGTTGGTCCAAAGATATTAGAGAAACAAGGTGGGTGAGGTAATACATTTTATTGGACCATCTTTCTGTTGGTGGAACAAGCAAGCTTTCAAGCTACACAGACAGACTTCTTCTTCCCAGACCGGAAGAAGAGCTCTGTGTAGCTCGAAAGCTTGTCTCTTTCACCAACAGAGGTTGGTCCAATAAAAGATATTACCTCACCCACCTTCTCTCTCTAATTATAACGTGTTAGTTACCAGGTTTTCTAACAGGGTTCATGTTCCCAGTGGAGACAAGGATGAAATCAGCAAGCCTGGGTCCAAATTCTGTGCTGATTTACACCCTTTGCACCTCCATTGACTCCAGCAGGGCCCTGGGAGGATATAAATAAGCACGGATTAGACCCATTGTGCTGTAAGTCGGCGACACAGATCTGATGCAGCACCATGCAGCTCTTCTCTGAAAAGCTTGGCCAATTAAATCCACGAGCAGAGACAAACAGATTCCTGGATCTGTTCTTGCTGAGTACAATTAATATCTAATGAGTAGAATCTTTACCATAATAAAGCTTTCTGACAAGAGCATGGCACTTCAGCTTCTGGCTGTGAGGGAGAGAAAACCCTGTTAGGCTGGGGTGAGCGAGCTGTTTGAAAATAACGTGAACAGTCGGAAGAGCAGAGCGCCTGACAATGGGCAGATACCTGGGGTGCACCAGTACTCCGCCTGCCTTTTCTTCCTTTGTCCCTATGATAATATTCACATGCAGTCTATGCGGATGATGGGGATTTGACCTGAAAATAAATTTCCATGCCATGCTACATTAACACAGCTGATACCGCATTCCAATATGCTGCACATAGTGCCGCGGGCCAGTGTAGACAATGTGATCTGGCTAACCCTGATGTTTAAAGGGAAAGGCCGATTGCCTGTGTTAATTAATGACTGCAGGTAATTTGTTCCTACCGTCGCTGTCACCCCACACCTATTTACATGTAAGTGCTATTGAAAAATGCTGAATTGTTAGCACTGGACACATACAACTTCCATTTAGCTACATAATAGGGAGCAATAGTGCAAACTTCCCCAACCTGCCCTACAACTATGCCTCACCCCTGACCTGTAGGGACTGTTTACACTTTCATGCCCATCCAGTGTTTGGCCAGCCTCTCTGTTGAGGCCACTGCCACTAATGCCAATTTCGACCAGGTGTGGTTGTGCTGGTGCTATGGATAACTGTCCATAGGGGAAGTAGCTAAGACCACAGACACACTTCACAGGCCCTATCAGACATACCTTGCTCTTATATAGCATTTTTCATCCATGTTATTTATGTTATCATAGCACCTAGGAGTCCCAGTCATGGACCAGGACCCCATTGTGCTAGGTGCTGTACAAACCGTAGATCTCAAAGCACTTTACAAAGGTGGTCAATATCATTATCCCCATTTTACAGATGGGGAAACAGAGGTGAAGTGGCTTGCCCAAGGTCATCTAGCTGTGCAGGAGCAGACTAGGGAAGCTAAGGGTTCTGCATCCCAGTATAGTGCTCTGACCACTAGGTCATACTGCAGGTTGAACCAACAGCGTGCCAGTAAGAAGTTCCATACTGCATTGTCTATCCTGTGTCTCCTTCCACTGCTCCCCCAAAACGCATATCTATCTGCAACCAGCTATAAGAGTATCATTGACAACTGTACCTAATTGGTATGCTGTAGCTTGTGTCAGCTTATGTGCCATCCAGGGGACTTTGTTCATGGAGAAGATGCTACATTAGAAAAACATTCTGGAACAAATTCTGATCTGGATGCACATGTGGTCCCCATTGACTTCAGTGGGAGCTGAGCCTACAGCTGAGACAGAATTTGTCCCTTCAGTGAGCAATTCCCGTAAAATGAGAAATGACACTTAATGGTCTCGTTATTGTTATTAATCATTTATATTGTGGTAGCAATTAGAGGGCTCAGCCAAGCCCAGGTCCCAGTGAACTGAATGCTGCACATGTATTTATATTAGCTCCTTCCAAACACACTTTAATATGGATATCGCTTTTCCAGAAGTTGTCGGGTGAGATTTTCAAAGGTGCTCAGCTTTGATCTGACTTTGCTCTCATAGAAGACAACGGGCGTTTTCCCAATGTCTTTAACAGACCCAGAGTTAGGTCATTGCAGGCTGCTTTCCACCAACTGCAATGGGAGCAGAAGGGCCGGGTACTTTTAAAAATCTCACCTGTCCATTTGAAGATGAAGGGCAGATTTCAATTTGGGCAGGAAGGGCCTGATTCTGAACACCCTCTGGGTGTACCACTCCCACTGAACTCAGGACTTGGGCCCTAAGTGTTTTCTTATGTTGTATTGTGTGCAATGATACAGACAATTGAGAAGATATTAAATCCGGAGATGGACAAAACAGGTTTGGTTTTGAGATGGTTCTGATCCAGGACCCAGTTGTCCAAACTTCAGAGTTCAAAGAGAAATGGATGAACGGTTCTGATTTTGTACCACTGCAGTAAAAAGGTTCTGTATTCCACATTTTGCCTTCGCACATCAGATATTCTATATTACATGATTTCTAAATTCATATCCAAGAAGCAGAAGCTAGAAAATGGGTAACAAAGAAAGTCAAGCAAAACTAAAGCCCTAATCCTGCCTAGAATTGTGCAGGTATGTAACTTTACCGCCATTGACTGCTATTCATTTGAGTAAAGTTCACATGCCTACGTTTTTGCAGGATCTGCCCCTGAGATCATACCATCTAATCACACAACACTAAAGCTTTTTCCCCCCTCTCTGATACACTGAATAAAGTGGGCATTTAAAAACCTTGAGATTTTTGTAATGAGTTTGCAATAGCTTTAATGCGCGGGGAGGGGGAGGGTTGTCTGTTACAAAGAAGGCTAGGTGTGTTTTTACTGTAATATTGGTGTAATGTTGATCAGTTGTGATTAGTTTTTAAACCCAGACTAGGATGGTTGTGATGCGCATGGAAGGATCCCTGTGATTCCTGAGCAAACATCTGCCACCTGTTGCTGCAGCGCTCTGGGAACACTACAGAACTCAGGGAATCCCCTCCAGCTAAAGAATAGATTAAGGTCCCAATTCTGCAGCTGGATCTGTGAACTCTTGCTCCTTTGTAAAACTGATTGCAAGAAACAGGGCTAATTTAATAGGACATTGATTTTTTTTTAAATGAAGATTGCTTAGACTCTAGTCTGGTTTTCGAAGGTTTGGAGGATTAGAGAAAACTGACAATATGTTAGCTGTCCTGTTTGCTGCGTTGTAGCCATGTTGTTCCCAGCCAGGCCCACCGTTCTCAAGGAGAGGGTCTTCAAGCCAGAAAGACTCCCTTTTTTTATTTGTTGTTATTGGTGTTGTGGTAGCAAACAAGGTCCTAATCAGTATCATGGCCCTACTGTGTGAGGTGCTGTATACACACCCAGATAGACATCTTCCTGCCTCAAAGATTTTATAATTTAAATCCTCAGTTCTTCGAAGACTCCTGCTTAACTTTACGCACCAAGTATTCCCATTGACTTCAAGGGGGACTTTCAAAGGCAAACACTTAGATAAGTCTGTGGAGGACTGGGGTCTCTTTTGAAACAGGGTGCATTCAGTGAGTGTGACATACCAAAGAGAGAGAGGGTGGATAAGAAAGGTAAGATCCGCGGGTTCCATAAGTTACGTTTGTGCATCTCCTGGTGCTTCCAAATCACCTGAAAGTGCTTTAAAAAGAAAAAAAAAGTAAGCTGATCATTTTTATTAAAAAATATAAAAACAAGCCCGTAAAACCCTCCTACTTTATAACATACTGGCTTCTATTAACAGCTGTCCATAGAATACTCCTGTAACTCACGTTGTAGAGGCATGTGCTAAAGGATCCAGATTGTATCTTACTGACAGTTGTTCATAATGGTCTGAATCAGTTGTGCCTGTATCTATAGTATACGATTCTGGCACCCAAGGTGTCTGTCAAGAAAAGGGATCCTGGTAGGTTAAAAATTATGCTACTATAATATTATATTTTTTTAAAATTATATTGTTTTTAATTTATATTGTATTGTAAGAGTATCAGTGACAACTGAACCTAACTGGTATGCTGTAGTGTAGCTTGTTAAGGTTGACTGATACTTCCCATTATAGGACTCCATTTTCAGTTGTTTATAACTTTGCAAAACTTTAACCACTTGAGGTGAAATTTTCCATGCCGGGTGTCTGCCTCAG